TTTCCGCCCCTGCTTCCCCTCCTTTCCGCCCCTGCTTCCCCTCCTTTCCGCCCCTTCTTCTTCCCCTCCTTTCCCCCCCCTGCTTCCCCTCCTTTCCGCCCCTGCTTCCCCTCCTTTCCGCCCCTGCTTCCCCTCCTTCCCGCCCCTCCTTCCCCTCCTTTCCGCCCCTGCTTCCCCTCCTTCCCGCCCCTGCTTCCCCTCCTTCCCGCCCCTCCTTCCCCTCCTTCCGCCCCTGCTTCCCCTCCTTCCCGCCCCTGCTTCCCCTCCTTCCCGCCCCTGCTTCCCCTCCTTCCCGCCCCTGCTTCCCCTCCTTCCCGCCCCTGCTTCCCCTCCTTCCCGCCCCTGCTTCCCCTCCTTTCCCGCCCCTGCTTCCCCTCCTTCCCGCCCCTGCTTCCCCTCCTTCCCGCCCCTGCTTCCCCTCCTTTCCCGCCCCTGCTTCCCCTCCTTCCCGCCCCTGCTTCCCCTCCTTTCCGCCCCTGCTTCCCCTCCTTTCCGCCCCTGCTTCCCCTCCTTTCCGCCCCTGCTTCCCCTCCTTTCCGCCCCTGCTTCCCCTCCTTTCCCGCCCCTGCTTCCCCTCCTTTCCGCCCCTGCTTCCCCTCCTTTCCGCCCCTGCTTCCCCTCCTTTCCCCCCTTCTTCCCCTCCTTTCCCCCCCCTGCTTCCCCTCCTTTCCGCCCCTGCTTCCCCTCCTTTCCGCCCCTGCTTCCCTCCTTCCCGCCCCTCCTTCCCCTCCTTTCCGCCCCTGCTTCCCCTCCTTCCCGCCCCTGCTTCCCCTCCTTCCCGCCCCTCCTTCCCCTCCTTCCCGCCCCTGCTTCCCCTCCTTCCCGCCCCTGCTTCCCCTCCTTCCCGCCCCTGCTTCCCCTCCTTCCCGCCCCTGCTTCCCCTCCTTCCCGCCCCTGCTTCCCCTCCTTCCCGCCCCTGCTTCCCCTCCTTTCCCGCCCCTGCTTCCCCTCCTTCCCGCCCCTGCTTCCCCTCCTTCCCGCCCCTGCTTCCCTCCTTTCCCGCCCCTGCTTCCCCTCCTTCCCGCCCCTGCTTCCCCCCTTTCCCGCCCCTGCTTCCCCTCCTTTCCCGCCCCTGCTTCCCCTCCTTCCCGCCCCTGCTTCCCCTCCTTCCCGCCCCTGCTTCCCCTCCTTCCCGCCCCTGCTTCCCCTCCTTCCCGCCCCTGCTTCCCCTCCTTCCCGCCCCTGCTTCCCCTCCTTCCCGCCCCTGCTTCCCCTCCTTTCCCGCCCCTGCTTCCCCTCCTTCCCGCCCCTGCTTCCCCTCCTTCCCGCCCCTGCTTCCCCTCCTTTCCCGCCCCTGCTTCCCCTCCTTCCCGCCCCTGCTTCCCCTCCTTCCGCCCCTGCTTCCCCTCCTTCCCGCCCCTGCTTCCCCTCCTTTCTCGCCCCTGCTTCCCTCCTTTCCGCCCCTGCTTCCCCTCCTTTCCCGCCCCTGCTTCCCCTCCTTTCCGCCCCTGCTTCCCCTCCTTTCCGCCCCTGCTTCCCCTCCTTTCCGCCCCTTCCCCTCCTTCCCCCCCCTGCTTCCCCTCCTTTCCGCCCCTGCTTCCCCTCCTTTCCCCCCCCTGCTTCCCCTCCTTCCCGCCCCTGCTTCCCCTCCTTTCCGCCCCTGCTTCCCCTCCTTCCCGCCCCTGCTTCCCCTCCTTCCCGCCCCTCCTTCCCCTCCTTTCCCGCCCCTGCTTCCCCTCCTTCCCGCCCCTGCTTCCCCTCCTTCCCGCCCCTGCTTCCCCTCCTTCCCGCCCCTGCTTCCCCTCCTTCCCGCCCCTGCTTCCCCTCCTTCCCGCCCCTGCTTCCCCTCCTTCCCGCCCCTGCTTCCCCTCCTTCCCGCCCCTGCTTCCCCTCCTTCCCGCCCCTGCTTCCCCTCCTTTCCCGCCCCTGCTTCCCCTCCTTCCCGCCCCTGCTTCCCCTCCTTTCCGCCCCTGCTTCCCCTCCTTCCCGCCCCTGCTTCCCCTCCTTCCGCCCCTGCTTCCCCTCCTTTCCGCCCCTGCTTCCCCTCCTTTCCCGCCCCTGCTTCCCCTCCTTTCCGCCCCTGCTTCCCCTCCTTTCCGCCCCTGCTTCCCCTCCTTTCCGCCCCTGCTTCCCCTCCTTTCCGCCCCCTTCCCCTGCTTCCCCTCCTTTCCGCTCTCTCCTTCCCCTAATTTCTCCCTCTCATTTCCTTCATTTTTCCCCCGCTGCTTTCCCTGTTCCTCTCCACCCCCTTACGGCCTCCCTTCCCTCTCCTCCCTCTTCCAATCTCCTCCCTTCCCTCTCCTCCCTCTTCCAATCTCCTCCCTTCCCTCTCCTCCCTCCTCCATTCTCCTCATCTCTCTCTCCCCCCTCATCCAATCTCCTCCCTTTCCTCTCCCATCTTCCCTATCCCCCCAAATCCTTCTCTCCCTTTTTCTCCTCCTCCCCCTCTTCCTATCTCCTCCTCTCCTCTTCCGATCTCTTCTTACTTTTTCCCCTGCTATACTCTTGTCCACCCCCCCGCTAGCCCCTTGCTTCCCCCCTGCTAGCCCCGTATTTCTTTTCTGCTAGCCCCTTGCTTCCCCCCTGCTAGCCCCGTACTTCTTTCCTGCTAGCTCCTTGTTCTCTCCCTCGTCCAATCTCCTCCCTTGCTCCCTATCTCTCTTCCGCACCTCCTCCTTTCCTCTCTGTCCTGCCTTTCCGCCCTTGATTCCCCTAATTTCCGCCCTTGATTCCCCTAATTTCCGCCCTTGATTCCCCTAATTTCCGCCCTTGATTCCCCTAATTTCCGCCCTTGATTCCCCTAATTTCCGCCCTTGATTCCCCTAATTTCCGCCCTTGATTCTCCTCGTTTCCCCCCCTGCGTCCCCTCATTTCCCCCTTGCTGTTCATTATGGTCCACCCTTGCTTACCCTTCCTTTCCCCTGTGCTAGCCTTCCTCCCCCGTGCTCACCCTTCCTTCCACTCCAGCTTACCCTCTGTTTCTCCTCTCCTTACTGTTTTTCTTTTCCCGAAAGCACCACAACGGACATCCAGCCCTTTTGTTCTTGAGTGGGGCTCTTTGCACCTTGGTGGAACCAAGGGCCAGTTTACAGTTGTACCGGCTTGTGTGTGGCAGTAGTGTACCAATCAAAGAATCTGATAGCATATTACAACAGTTGATCCAAGATTTCCAGCGCATGCAGTAGCTTTGATGACGTATATAACATCAGTAACTTGCAAACCTTACATCTATAGATGAAGCAAAGTTACATGATGCAACTGGGCACAGCACTGAGGTATGCAACTTGTCTGAGCTGTTGCTCCCTCTACGCTGCCAAACTCATCTGAGCCCGAACTAGTCCTGCTTGAAGTGGAAACAAAGGGATGAGCGATGGGTGGAAAGGTGGGGAGGCAGGAAAGGGAGATGGGGAGGCAGGAAGGAGAGGTGGTGGGGCAGGAAGAGAGGGGAAGACGGTAGGTGTGGATTTGATAAGTGCGAGGAAGAATGGTAGTGAAAGGGCGGGAAAGAGGGTGTTTGGTTGTGCGGAAAAAGAGGTAAACAAAGGAAGCATGGAGAGTGTGAGGCAAGGGCTTGGGAAGCAGGGACCATGCGTCCAAGGGAATCAGCAGCCCTCCATTCACCTACCCACCAGTGTACGAAAGAGGGAGAGAGAGAAAGATGGAGAGAGGGGGATAGGGAGCGAGGCAGAGAGGGAGAGAGGTGGAGAGTGGGAGAGGGAGGGAGGGAGCGATGGAGGGAGGGAGAGAGTCAGAGAGGGAGAGACGGAGAAATGGAGACGGTTTAGAAGGGAGAGAGGGAGAGATGGCGAGAGGGGGAGATGAAGAGAGGGAGCTATGGAGGGAGACACACGATGAGAGAAAGAGAGAGAAGGATAGTCGGTGTTATTGTGCAAGCAAGAGGGACGGATCAGGGGAGGGAGGGTGGAGATGATGGGAGGACGAGAAGATTGGGTCGTAGGATCATGGTCCTGCGACCATGATTGGGTCGTAGGATCATGGTGGGTAGGAGGTTATGTTAGGAGAATGCAGGCGGGGGGAAAGTGTTCAGGAGTGACAATAGGAAAACAGGGAACAAGAGGTATTGGGGATGCGGGAAAGAACGGGAGCGGGTTGCAGGAAGGAGGGAGGGAGGAAAAGGGGCAGTATGACAGAGGCAGGCAGGGCAACGAGGGGAATGGAAGAGGCGCCGATGAGCGCGACTAACAACGCACGTCTGCTTGCCCCGGTCTTGCGTCATTGCAACACAAACAGCCCCCTCTCCACCCCTGGCCCTGTTTGCACCTTATCTCACCCTCCCCCTCTGTCTCTACCTCTCTGCCCCTCCCTCTCTAACCCTAAACCCTGGGGATTCCTTCCCCTCCTTTCCCCCCTTGCGTCCCCTCCCTTTCCCCCTTGCTTCCCCTCCTTTTCCCCCTAGCTTCCCCTCCTTTCCCCCCTTGCGTCCCCTCCTTTCCCCCCTTGCATCTCCTCCCTTTCCCCCTTGCTTCCCCTCCTTTCCCCCCTAGCTTCCCCTCCTTTCCCCCCCTGCGTCCCTTCCTTTCCCCCCCTGCTTCCCCTCCTTTCCCCCGCTGCTTCCCCTCCTTTCCCCCCTTGCTTCCCCTCCTTTCCCCCCTTGCTTCCCCTCGTGAGTGAGAGTGCAGGAGAAGGGAGAGAGAGGAATGGATGCGTGAGGGTGGGAAGGAATGTGAGAACGTGGGAAGGAATGAGAGGGTGGGAAGGAAAGAGAGAGGGTGAGAAGAAATGAGTTAGGGTGGTAAGGAATGAGAGAATCACTGAAGGGATTATATGTGCTTGGGAAGGAATGAGGGAAGGTGCGAAGGAATGAGAGAGGGTGGACGGAACAGAATGAGAAAGGCTGGCCAGCACGCAGGGCCCGCACTTGCGACGGGCATTTTCCCAAGGAGCGAGACTGACGAGCATGGGAAATACGAGCGACGGGGGGAACTGCCAGCGATAGGGAGAGGAAGGACACCTGGGCAGGGAGTGGAAGGACACAAGGGCAGGGAGTGGAAGGACACATGGGCAGGGAGTGGAAGGACACATGGGCAGGGAGAGGGAGATTATGGGGGGGAGCAGGGAAGGGGATGGGGGGAAGCAGGGAAGGGGATGGGGGGAAGCAGGGAAGGGGATGGGGGGAAGCAGGGAAGGGGATGGGGGGAAGCAGGGAAGGGGATGGGGGGAAGCAGGGCAGGGATGGGGGAAGCAGGGAAGGGGATGGGGGGAAGCAGGGAAGGGGATGGGGGGAAGCAGGGAAGGGGATGGGGGGAAGCAGGGAAGGGGATGGGGGGAAGCAGGGAAGGGGATGGGGGGAAGCAGGGCAGCGGATGGGGGGAAGCAGGGAAGGGGATGGGGGGAAGCAGGGAAGGGGATGGGGGGAAGCAGGGAAGGGGATGGGGGGAAGCAGGGAAGGGGATGGGGGGAAGCAGGGAAGGGGATGGGGGGAAGCAGGGAAGGGGATGGGGGGAAGCAGGGAAGGGGATGGGGGGAAGCAGGGAAGGGGATGGGGGGAAGCAGGGCAGCGGATGGGGGGAAGCAGGGAACGGGATGGGGGGAAGCAGGGAAGGGGATGGGGGGAAGCAGGGAAGGGGATGGGGGGAAGCAGGGAAGGGGATGGGGAAAGCAGGGAAAGGGATGGGGGGAAGCAGGGCAGGGGATGGGGGGAAGCAGGGCAGGGATGGGGGAAGCAGGGAAGGGGATGGGGGGAAGCAGGGAAGGGGATGGGGGGAAGCAGGGAAGGGGATGGGGGGAAGCAGGGCAGCGGATGGGGGGAAGCAGGGAAGGGGATGGGGGGAAGCAGGGAAGGGGATGGGGGGAAGCAGGGAAGGGGATGGGGGGAAGCAGGGAAGGGGATGGGGGGAAGCAGGGAAGGGGATGGGGGGAAGCAGGGCAGCGGATGGGGGGGAGCAGGGAAGGGGATGGGGGGAAGCAGGGAAGGGGATGGGGGGAAGCAGGGAAGGGGATGGGGGGAAGCAGGGAAGGGGATGGGGAAAGCAGGGAAAGGGATGGGGGGAAGCAGGGCAGGGGATGGGGGGAAGCAGGGCAGGGGATGGGGCGAAGCAGGGAAGGGGATGGGGGGAAGCAGGGAAGGGGATGGGGGGAAGCAGGGAAGGGGATGGGGGGAAGCAGGGAAGGGGATGGGGGGAAGCAGGGCAGCGGATGGGGGGAAGCAGGGAAGGGGATGGGGGGAAGCAGGGAAGGGGATGGGGGGAAGCAGGGAAGGGGATGGGGGGAAGCAGGGAAGGGGATGGGGGGAAGCAGGGAAGGGGATGGGGGGAAGCAGGGAAGGGGATGGGGGGAAGCAGGGAAGGGGATGGGGGGAAGCAGGGCAGCGGATGGGGGGAAGCAGGGAAGGGGATGGGGGGAAGCAGGGAAGGGGATGGGGGGAAGCAGGGAAGGGGATGGGGGGAAGCAGGGAAGGGGATGGGGGGAAGCAGGGAAGGGGATGGGGGGAAGCAGGGAAGGGGATGGGGGGAAGCAGGGAAGGGGATGGGGGGAAGCAGGGCAGTGGATGGGTGGAAGCAGGGAAGAGGATGGGGGGAAGCAGGGAAGGGGATGGGGGGAAGCAGGGAAGGGGATACGGGGAACAGGGAAGGGGATGGGGGGAACGGGGGCAGATGCCGGGGAGAGATGGGAGGATGGTGGGGAGCAGAGAGGAGTTCGAAACGCTGTTCGATTGGGGTGGCGGAGGCGACAACGGGAGGCGAGGGCCTAGAGGAGCAACTGGGCCAACGAGTTGCTGCGCGTGACGTCGGATTCAGCGGGTGATCTACCCTGGAGCGCGAGTGAATGGTTGAGCGCGGGACGAGGGGAGGAGAGCGCGTGACGAGGGGAAACGCGCGTAACGGGAGAAACGCGCGACGAGGGGCCATGCGCGTGACGGGGGAAACGCCCTGTTTCGAGGGGAAACGCGCGCGACGAGGGGACGAAGGGGCAGATGCCGGGGAGAGAGCACGTGACGAGGGGAAGCACGCTAACCCGGGCAGGCGCGAGTGCCTTGGGGCAGGCGCAAGTGACGAGGGCAGGCGCGAGTGACGAGGGCAGGCGCGATTGACGAGGGAAGGCGCGATTGACGAAAGCAGGCGCGAGTGGCGAGGGGGAGCGCCTTTGACGAAGCGCGGGAAACGTGGGGTAGCATGGCGATGCACTCGTTTGTGTGTCGATACGGTAGAACGCACGTTCCGTGTGAGTAACGTGCAACGCCAAAAAAAAAAAAAAATCGAGCGTGACACTAGGCTTGAGCTGCCTAGCTATTGGCGCGACAGCGTTGGTGACGTGAGTTGCCGTAAAAAAGAAGTTATGGGTTCTAGCTTTTGCCGCACTGGCTTGGCTTCCTACTTACGGGAAGGAGTAAGGCAGGTTATGAGTACAACTAGGTGTTCAAGATATGTGAGGGGAGAACACCGATCCAGAGTGAGCGACGAGCGGTTCAGTTTTGCGATTGTGTACAAGAGCCTATCAGGGGAGAGTGTCGCTCGGCGTTGTCCCAGACTCGCGAGAGTTCTCTCAAACAAAGTAAAGTAACCCTGTTTTTGGCGAGTTCAAGTTCAAGAATCTTGAACTTGAAAAAAACCATGCTGTACTCGCAATCCAACGAAAGAACAGCAACATTTCCAAGGAATCCTGCGAGGCACTGGTCATGGCACCTTTAATATATGCGGCGTGGCGTACCCCTACACGAAGGAGGAATCATGAAGGTCTACCCCCACTGGCGCGACCCCGACCCAAAGAAGAGGAGCTAGCACGACGCAAAGCACAAGAGCTTCGCCAGAAGAGCATCGCCGAGGCGCCGAAGAAGAAAGCATCACCAATAAAGGGGGGTGGGGAAACAACGACGGTTGGGGAACCAGCGACACCGGCGGATGGGGCAACACAGGCGGTACCTGGAGGCGGATGGGGCGCCGCATCTGGAGGCGAAACAAGCGGCAGGGGCACATCCGGCGCAAGTTGGGTAACTTCCCGAGAAGAACAATAACCCCCTCTCTGTGATACTCGACAGAGAGTTTCTAGCACTGATGATGACGACGACGAACGAAGAAGAGGAAGAGCACCGGCGGAACCTATCCCAGTACCAGAAGAAGACCCGGAAGAAGTGCGCACGCACTACATGCGCACCTCTGGATTCCGCGCCAACGACGATCTTTGGCACCAGCGCCTCGATCACCCCTCGCGCGCGACGCTGAAAAAATGCATCGAGGCAGGCGTGTTTGTGCTTGGCGCACTCCCGCGCCCTGACGGCTCCGAAGTGAGAAGCACATCACAGCCGCGCAACTGCATCGTCTGGCCCAAAGTTGCGTTGTGTCATCGGCCGTTTCCTTTGCTGGAATAAGGAACTAACCGCTACCCCAAGCTGCACAAGGTATATAGTGATTTCCTCGTTGTCGGCCACTGTGGGCTCAACGATGAACAGTACACACTCATGCTTGTCGACGCGGGAACTCGCTACATATGGGTCGTGAATGTAGAACTCCACATCAGGGCGTACGAGGTCTTCCGCCTCTGGTTGGTGCATGCGCAGTGGCAATGTGGGAAGCAGCTGAAGATTTGGCAATCGGACGGCGCAGCAAAATTTCGCAGCAAGGAGCTGCAAGATTACCTAGCACAGAAAGGAATCGAGCACCACACCTCCCTTCCCTACGCGCACCCACAGCACGGTGTCGCTACGAGGACAAACCACACGCTCATGACGAAGGTGCAAGCACTACTGAAGCAGTCGAAGCTTCCCCCGACGTAGTGGACATACGCGATGCACCACGCTGTACAAGTGCACAATCTCCTGTCAACCACCGCCATCACACGCAACCTGTCCCCGCATGTGAAGTGGACAGGCACCAAGGGCAACACTTCCATGCTCGGCGTGTGGGGGTGCTTGGTGCAATACCGCCAGTCGACGTCAACCATCGGCAAATTCGCCAGTCGCGCGCGCTGGGGAATTCACCTCGGCATCAGCTACAAATACAAGGCATGGATGATCCTGGACCTGCTCAGCCAGAAGGTCACCAATGCGCGTGACGTATTTTTTTACGAACAGCTCAATCTCGCCCAGTTCCGCGAAGACGAGCAGATGAACGCGAATCGTGTCTACGGCCATGACGGGCACAGCTACACCACGCCCGAAGGCGAGGCCGCAGCAGCTATTTTGGAGCAGGACAACACCGGCAAATTCACAAGAGTCGATCGCCACGACAACGACAACGATGATGAGGAACCAACATGAGGCGGAGTCGGAGGAGCAGGAGGAGATAGCAGAAATCCCACGCCACCACCACTGTCTGAACCAGAGAGTGACGACGATCACGTGCAGGAAGTTATTCCGCAACATCGCCATGACAGCACCGTCTTAGGGCTGCAGCTGCTAGGACTTCGCGCCGCTATCTCAACGGTGCCACGTGTCATCGAGCCTAAGAATCCGTGCCAAGAACTCACGAGACCCCATAGCAAGGAGTGGCGCGAGGCGACGGGTGCAAAAATCAAAGCGCTCGAATCCCGCGACACTTGGGTGCTCGTCGACCGCGCGGCAATCAAAGGGAGAAGAATCCTCTCAGGCAAATGGGTCTTCCGCGTGAAGACCGCGGCACACGGAATGATTGAGCGCTTCAATCGCGCTGGGTCGTACGCGGGTACGACCAAACGCATGGCATTGATTTCGACCAGACTTTTGCGCCGGTCAGACGTCACACCTCCGTCAGGATCCTGCTCACCATCGCCGCCGCAAGACACCTACTGCTTCGTCAAATCGACGTGAAGAACACATTCCTCTATACGTTGGTAGATGCAGTAATCTACGTGGAGCAACTGCACACATACAGTGAAGGGATTCATGCGTGTGTCAGTTGCGAAAATCGCTCTACAGGATCAAACAAGCGCCAATGCTCTCTGCCAGCAGTCCCTACACAACATTCTGCTCAAGATTGGGTTCAAGCAACTACCTCACGACCTAGGGATGTATCGCCGAGATTTCCGCGGCGACCACATTCTGCCTACGGTCTATGGTCTCATTCATGTTGCCTCGGCAGGAGCATCCATTTCAGCCTCCTTTCCCTTGCCTTCTGTTGTAGTACTAGCCTCCTCGAGGCCTTGTCCTCCAGGGGCTTGAAACTCAACGGATGCCTTGTTCTCCAGGGATAGTCAGGTGTCGTCAGCGAAAGGGCCAGCCATCTCCTTCAGCATCGGCTTCGGCGTAGTAGGCTGAGACTGATGTCCCTTATCCAGCGGCGAGCGTTCGGTGACACCATTCTTCGGGAGAGCAGCAGGAGGTCCAACCTTCTTCGGGGGATGACCCATGATGCCAAGATGATAACGCCAGGGAAGCAGCATGCTTGCAGATAGTGATAGGAATCTGAGCAGCGACGCATTATAGCTCCAAAAAGCTTTCTTAGGCCTAGCCTTCTTCTTGGTTTTCCCTCGATGATATCCATAGGTGGTTATTGGCCCATCATGTAAATGTCAGATAATATAAATGGTAGGATTTCTCTCGTGACGACTAGAGAGTTGCTAGGACCTTTTTGGCAACTAGAAGATCAATCCTTGAGATTGCATGGAGGACATCCGAAATGCCTAACACGCGCAGGTTAGTAACATGCCCAAGGATATTCCCGTACGCGCTTTGCCACCTAGATTCCAAAACTATCCTTAGATTTAGCAACTGATAAGAAATATCCATGGCGGCCTTGGTGTCATTGTTGTTATTTCGCGTGTTGTCCACAGTATGGGCATCAGTCATACCCTCCAAACTGGCCTTCTTTGGTACGCAAAGGTGTATAGGTTTTCGATGTGAACATGACTCAGATAGGTTATGCCATGTATGCTGATGCCTGTAGTGATGCTAATTCATATTGTTCGTGTATGCAGAGCCAAAGAACTCTAGGTGTCTTTAGTGTAGGAAACTTCGCTGTTGCTTCGCTGTTGCTGTTCCTTCGCAGTTTTTGGTGTGTTTCTCGGTGTGTTATCTTTCCTTGAAAGTGTCGCAATCTTTTGTGACGCATACTTACAGCTTCTGCTGCCAGGTGTCGAGATTCCGGACCGCTGAACAAAATTGTAAAATGTTATTTCCGTTGGTTGACGTGAACCACGGAACTGTCGCCGGCTAATAGTACGCCAGCGCGACAAGGACCTGCCCTCGCACGCAGACCCAAATGTCAATCTAATCTGCATGCATCTGGACGTCTGAGAACTGTTCGTTTTCACCAAGGGAACGCGTTCAACGTAACGGGATTGGTCAATCAGTGCTCCCATACACTTATTGACAATCCCGCGCGGATCACGGACGCACATCTCCGCCACCCCCCAATACACGTTCCCCGCTCTTCCCTACCCTGAAGCACTGCTGTTCCCCGTGAAGTCCCATTTCGTTCCTCTTTTAAACCTCATTCCTTGCAGCCACAACTACTGCCTAGCATCTAGATCTAGAAAATCACTTACCGCTGCCATGCCTCGGAAACGTAAGGGCCGCGACCTTGACGACTGCCCCAAGGATCTCAACGAGATCCTTTACATCCGGTGGATGAATCAGCAAATCGCCAACGGTCGTCATCCTACCGGATTAGCCGCTCCGGTAGCGCCAGATCCGCAAGGTTCTAGTGTACAAACACCCCGCGCGGGTCCGTCTCGCGTGCGCCGTCAGCCTACCAGATCCCCCGTCACGCATCGTCCTGTCGCGGAGCCGGAGGAAGAGGAATCCGCCACAGAGTACCGCGGCGATACCGTTGCATCTGACGATGATGACGAAAAGGAGGACGATCTTGGAATGTCAGAGGACGAAGAAGGTGACGACGACGACGACGACGTCGCCGAAGAAGAAACGCAGCCTGTGACGCCGCCTCCTAAACCCTAAACACTGGGCCCAGTCGTCCATTAGGTCTTCTCCGCGTGGGGCATGCAAGGGGTTTAGGCAGTAATCTCTAAGGGGCTATGCCGCATCCCCAACAATTTGGTACAGGGCTATGTCCCCTCGTTGTAACCTTTCCAGTAGTGCACTGTTCTTGAACACACGCTGGTCGTGTGCACTGCCGGGATACCCAATGAGGTAGTCCCAGATGATGCCACAAGCGTCACACGTGATCTGCAGTTGCACAGCATAGGCCGATTTTCTTGTCCAATACTCTATCCGGTGCCCCTCCATCCCTTTCATGTGGATGTGAGTTCCGTCTATAGCATCCACCACCGCAGGTACCCCCTTGATGGCTTCAAACTCTCGTGCCATCTCTGGCAGCTCATCATGGGACGGGAAGCGTACCCAGTCGGCCTTGAGGGCTGCCGGGAACTCCGTGAGGAAAACGTCGACGAGCTCATGGCATAGGGTTTTGGAAACCCCAAACAGGTAGGCCATGTCGACGTACGAGATGCCACTTGCCAAATATTATATTGCCACGAGTAGGGCAGTGTCCACTGTGATTCCGGTCCACTCAACAACGGGTTCCAAGCACTGACGCATGCCCGTTTTTATGTGCTCAAGGATGGCCCTGTTGATCCTGAAGATGTCCTGAAAATCGTTTTCCCGCACATGTTGCAGGTCGTCCACCCACAACTGGAAGCGTTGCTGTCGTACACGAGCACGGTGACGACGGTTCTCACCAGAGTCATCCCCGTATGATGAGGACGACTCGTTGTGTTCTTCTATGACACCAACCTCAATCATGCCGACAAAGGACTTTGCAATGGTTTCGAAAAATATTGTGTAGTAGTAGGTGACCCATGCGACGAGAAGTCTGAGGATGAATGGGATAGTTCGTGGCTCAGCCTTGTTGTTAGGGATGATGGTGTGTGATGCTATGGTGACTCTGGTGGTCGATGACTATGCGATTGTTAGGTCCTATAGTTCATGAGTCACGGCTTGGTGTGGATTTGGAGCAATTATTGGGGGAGGGAGTTGGTGCAATTATTGGGCGCAATCACAACCCTTCCGCTGACATTTCAAATTTTCGCCCCTTCCGCTGTCCCTGGTGGGTCTGTGTGACAAGCTGGGTTGGGCCCAATCACAACCCTTCTCGTGTAATTGTCGTTAGGTCGTTCAGCGTCGCTGTACATTTCCGCTTGTGACATCAGGTTCTCGGACATTTTGGCGCGACTCGGTCAAAAAGTGATTGCGACACTTTCCTAAGGGACATGTCCTAGGCGGAATGTACCCTTAGACCCAGAAGTTTATTTTGTAAAAGGGTTGCCTCCCTAGAGCCAAGATACAGGTGAGCGGGGAGTTATTGACTGTACCGGGTGAGACTATTTGAAATCAGTAAAGCAATGCTGGTTGCAATACGTTGTCAAGAGGTGTTTGAACCTTTTTTTTAGTGATTCAATGTGGCAGACACAGCCCTAATCACCACTCCTTGACCATCCTAATACAGAGCTCCCTCCCAGTCCAAAGCCCCAGTGCGCGTTGCGGTGTCACTACTCCCATGCTGGGCCTTGTGCGACAAGCTTTTTGCAAACACCCATTTCCTTAAATCCGGCGACCCATCTCTCACAAGCACTCTCCGTTGACTGGCTGGGTCCTTGTACGACACACTGCGACCAATTTTGGAAGGGCTGGAAGAGTGGGAGGCGTGGGAAGCATGGGAAGGGCGTGGGTGCATGGCATGGTCATGCTGCTGCCTTGGCGGCTCGCCCGCCACATGCTGTTGTGCGCCCCAGTTACCCCACCCATGTGCATGGTGAGCGCTCTGACTATGATTAGGGTGGTGGTTGCTGGCCTTGGTGCGATGTGGCAAGGAGGTAACATTTTGACCGGTGTGGCCCCAAAGGTGCTTCAAGGAAATGCGCGTGGTGACACTCCATCGGCGAGTGAGCCCAGGCGGATGTTCGGAAGGAGAATCTGGGCTTGCGGCACCATAAGCACCACCACTAGAGGACAAGCCTCTCCGGTCGGGATCAATTCCCTGTCTACCTGATTCACCATCATAACTCCTGCTTGAGTCCAGGCCATACCTTTCTTGGTTCGCTTCCAAGCTTCTATGATCAGTCCTTGACCGAACCATAGGCAGTGTGAAGGGTAACCTATTGCCTTACCCAGCTTCGCGCCGTTCTTTCTCATCCTCCTCCCATCCCTCCCCTTGCACCGGCAACCTGTCCGGTCTATGGCCTGACAGCACACGATAGCACCTAGCAGCACCACCACTAGCAGCGCCGATGTCAAGGGAGGGAGGCGAGCCCCTATTCCCGCTACTACCATCCCCAGAAGCCCTCCCATGCGAGCCCCGTCTGCGGGTTATCACGTGCTGCTCGTCGTCTCCCTCCCGCACTGACCTGCTGCGCATTAAGGGCCAACTGTGAAAGATGGAATCCAGGCCGGCCCACGCAAGCTTCTTACCCTTGCTGGGGGTGGGAGTGGTGGAGGTGGATGTGGTGGAGGTGGGTGTGGCGGAAGTGGAAGTGGTGGAGGAGTTGCCTCTCCTACTGAAGGACGAACTGAATTTGAACCAACCATGATTCCATGTGTGAAGGTGATCCAAATTGCTCCTCACTACACTGCTCAAATCGTCGCAGTAACCGAATTTACTGATTTTGCTAGTGTAACTTGTATTCGCATCAGCCAGTTCGCCAGCCAGGTTTCCTTCCCTATTATAGCTTGCATCATTCGAAGCAACCCAACCAGACGCAAGACTTCGCCTTGAACCGGCGCTCTCAGTAACGCGAACTTCATTGCGTTCCATGGATTGCGAGCATCGAACGCCAAGAGGCGGAGAGACCTGGTTGCCAGTGGAATTAGTTCCATTTTGACCCAATCCGTTACCGTCCTTGACGCTGTGAGACTTCGCAAAGATTCGACTGCTTCCCACATTCGACCAATCATTCCTCCCACCACAGCCACCACCGCTAATGGAGTGGCTGCCGGTGCTCCACGTGGCGCCGCGCCCAATTGCACATACAGAACCGCCGGTTACTGGCAACAATTTCGACGGATTGGGCGGCAGTACAACCCTGTCCCTTTCAAGACTGCTACTATCACCGCTGCCGTCACTCCCTGCTCGCTCAAACTGCCAAGTTTCCCCGTTGTGCTCTCTTCCGTTTTCCTCGTGGTGCCTCGCAAACGTAACTTCGTTACAGTAGTCCTCAATTGCGGCGTCGACTTTCGTAGAGTCGCCACCGTCATCTCTTAAAATGCAAGCTGTTGCATCGCGTTGCTCCGCGTCGTCTACTCCTCTCCGCACCACCTGTGCCCCCTTGCATCGCGCAAACCCACGAGCCGACATGACGGACGTCGATTCCACCTCGGCGGCGGCAGGCAAAACACGCCTCTGACTTGTCACTTTTTCCTCCAACGGATGTTCGATCCCGCTATACCCGACGCCTCCCCAGCAACTCCCACAGTAAGTCTCTCCGCAGAACCCGCTGCTGCTGGAGCCGGGTCGTGCAACGACGAGCTGAAGAAGGCTGCTGCTGGTGCCTTTGACTCCTAGGCCGTGGCGCTCCTTCCATCCCTCCACAGCGTCCTCATTCACGCGCTGCCGCCATTGCAGCGATGGCCAGCGCAGCGTCGCGACGAGTAGCCACCACGCGCTGTGTGCCTCGCGCACCACGCAGCGCCTTCCGTGCAGATTTCACCCAGTCGTTTGCGTCGCTGCACTGCGGGGATTTGAGAATCCGCCATGGGTCCGGCCCCATCGTCGTGAACCCTCCCGTGTCGGCCAACGCCTTCACTTGCGGCAGCGCCGTCGCCGCGACGGCCGCCGTCTCCCCCGCCTCGACTTGCGGATCGACCGCCTCCACCACGACCAGCTTCCACAAAACTTCCGACCCCAGGCCCGACTGCAATCGCACGGGCAGCGCGAGGAGCGGCAACACGGGGAACACGTCGCCCGGGTCGCGCTCCCTTGCGCCCACCTCCACCGCCTCCAACGACGCGTTGTCCAGAATCACGGGAAACACAGCGTCGGGCTCAGCGAAAGGGTCGTCAGAGGTGTCGCCGAAGGTGGTCGCCGAACGGGACAGAGGGCACGGAAAGTGAGCGGAAAAAATCTCGCCAAATTGTAGCGACGGGTTCGTTGGGGGAGAGTGCGGTTGGGCTGGGTTCGGAGAGAGCGGGCGCGAGGACGCAGGTTTGCGGAATAATTCCGACGTTCCACGGGTGCTGCTCCGCATTGTCAACGCGCACGCTGCCGTCGAGCGGCAGGCGACGGCGACGACCGGAGAGGGACGCGACGAAGGAGGACTTGGCAGCGCGGGGAGCTTATTCAATAAGGTCGAGCGAGGAGTGGCGGCGGCGGGAGAGGGAGAGAAGAGGACGACGTCGTGCCAGATGGAGACGACGAGGCCGCGCGAATGAGCGGAAGAAGGTTGCATTGAGGTTGTTCCGACATGATGCGTGGCGACGTGGATTATAGTGGAAGGCAAAAACAACATTTCTTGTCACTACAAGGTGAAGGGAATGAATAGAAAAGATAACTTGGCCGTAGGAACGTAAGAATAATTTGTCGAGTGTTGTACAGAATATGGCATGAATGCTTAAGCTCAATGGTTGTCCTTGCCTAAAGATGCAAGGACAAGTATGGATGATGGCCAACCGGATAACAAATGTTAGTTATTGTACGTTCTTGGCTGGTCTCAGCTGTGCTGGCGGGAAGCTGTGGCTCGCGTTGTGGCAGGTCTGTCTGCTTGGTCTTGAAGTTGACTATAGTTGAAAATGTGGAATTATCGAACGTGGTCAGAGTATTTGCTATAGTGTACAGAGAAAGAGTATTTGCTACAGTGTACAGAGAAACTTTTCCCCTAGGCCTTATCCCAAAAGTTCGCATGAGAGGGGAATGTTCTCTAATTTAGTTGGGTCTCGAACACGACCTATTTAGGGTGCATTCCTTGCTCGTGTCAAGCTTCAGGTCATCCGCGGATGACCAGAAGTTGGACCCACTTTGGGTGATTCGAGGCCAAGTTCGGGTCTTCCGGCCTAAAATTGCCCCAGAAAAAAAGGTTGACAGGAAGTTTAACCCAAAGCTTCGAGTCTTCCCGGGAAAGCCCGAAGCTTGACACGAGCCAGGAACGCGCCCTTACCTGAACCCTGGAAAACAAGTGGATCCGGCACACGTGTGGCAGTATTGTGCAGAAAAATCGTGCGGCTTTTGTTACAACAACATGTCATCCAAATGATGCTAAGGGGTTGTTCGAAGTGAACGTCGACATTCCCAGACAAAACGGGAATGTCGATGAATCTTGACGGTCGGAACGCTCGATCCGAGGGTGGAAATTCACCGACATTCCCCGACGAAACTGTAGCAAACATAAAGTTTTGTCGACGAAACTGTATACTAGGTCCCACGCTGTTTGGTGTCCAAAGTGCAGCCTGATGAAACTTGACGAAACTCGACGTTCGTGCATTCGTTGGCGGATGTCGAACAATGCTACCAGGCAGGTGCTACATCTCCTGTAGTCAATGTGGGCTCCAAATGTCGGCAATGAACCAAATGACTCACACCAGTAAGTGAAAACAAATTTCAAATTCAGCATTGCGTCATCTTCAAGAATCGGTCCTCAACACTAAACTAACTTTCGACTTACGCGACGAATCAAGACGTCAATGATAGGCCAAGACTCCATGTTGGAAGATTCGGGCAGGTAAAACAGTATCAAACATGGCACGTGCAACTTTTTTTGTCGTGGGGGTGTCCGAAGTGCACAGAGCTCAAAACGGATGTCGAGTTTCGTCGACGAAACTTTCATCGGCAAACGTCGAGATTCACTTCGGACACCCCCTAACCCATTTCTGCGACCTGTTTCAACTACGTCTACGTTCGAAGGTTTGCTGCCCTAGCTCCGTACTTCACATCAGTCTTTAAGCGTTCATGTAGGTGATATAAAATATTCTTGAGTGTTACAAGTGCAAGTAAGTGAGCGAGCAAGAATTGCACTATCGAAGCAAAACAGTACATCGAGCGAAGGCATGAGCGAGAACTATCTAGCGAAGCCACAATGGTACTTGTAACGAAGAGTGGGAGGGTGTGCGCCGGACCTGTGACTGAGGTTGTAACTCGGGTTGGGCGGTGCCGAAGTGAAGGCCCGGAGCGCGGGTTACCAGCCGAGCCGTGAGGTTGGGTTGCGACGAGTGTAGTGGCGGGAATGTAGTCAAGGCGAATGTCGTGAGTGGTAATGGTGTGCTTTGGCAGGAACAGACGTGTACGCGGTAAGTAGGGATGCGACGTAAGGAAAAGGAAATTTCCTTACACTACCCCACTCCCCAAGGAGGCCCTCCTTACGAGAGTGCGTGTACATCCCGGAAGTTGCGGCTGCGCAGGTACTCGGTGAGGACAGGGTGGTTCTTGATTCTATCCAAGGGTACCCAGTTGTCTTCAGACAGTGTGTGGTTTTTCTAGCGGATCAAGAACTTGATCCTACGGGCTCCACGTGGATCACGAACACAGTGGCTCAATATTTTTTTGGGTGTGATGATTGGCTCTGTTGGCGGTCGTGTCATGCTGGCTGGGCGGTTGCGAGGTAGTTGGTTGGTGGATGGGACGTATGGGCGAAGCAAGCTGACATGGAATGACGGACTGACGTACCAGTCAGTAGGGAGGAGGAGGTGGGCGGTGACGGGTGTGATCATGTGGCTGATGCGAAATGGCCCACAATATCAGGGGCGAAGTTTTGGGGTGACGGACAGGCGGAGGTTCTGAGTGTCAAGTAGTACAAGGTCGTCGGGCTGGTAAGCGACGGGGCGGCGGTGACGATTGGCGTTGCGTTTAGCGATGATATTTGACTTTATATTTGCGTCTGCTGCTCCGGACCGTGCTCCCTGTAAAATTTCTGCGAACTGTTGCGCGCGTGGCATCGGGTTGTTGGGATTCGGGGTCGTGGGGACTGTGGGGTTCTCTCCGTTGTTGAGATAAAACGGTGACTGCTGCGTCATGGCTAATGTGGAGTTGTTTTAGGTGAATTCGATGAGTGGCAGTTGCTGTTGCCATGTTGTCGGGTCATCGCACGTGGCTCGAATCAACTGCTCGATGGCCTGATTTGTCCGTTCTATCTGTCCATCGGTTTTGGGGTGGTACAAGAAACTGAACTGTAGTTGTGTGCCAAACTGCTGTCATAGGTTCTGCCAGAAGTTGCTGGTGAATTTTGTGTCACGGTTGCTGATAATCGCTACTGGTATACCGTGCAGTCGAACGATGGTGGAGATGAAGAGCCGAGCTGTTTCTTCATCCGAGATGGATTTTTTGTAGGCTGCAAAAAGTGCCATTTTCGTCAGCCAATCGACGGCGACCAGGATCGCGTCGTTCCCACTTGCTCCAGCCGGTGACCCCGTGACGAAGTCCTTCGCCATCTGCTGCCAAGCATGTTTAGGGGATGGTATCGGCTGCAATTGTCCTACCGGTCGCTATCGTGAAGATTTCATGAGCTGGCAAGTAGGTCACGATGCCACGTGCCGTTGCACTCGGTTAGCATTTCGGGCCAGTAGTAATAGTGCTGCAGCTGCTGCCGTGTCTTCTTTACTCCAAAATGACCTGAGGAAACTCCGTCGTATGCCTCCTGCAGTAGCAGCTCCCTTAGTAAAGTGTAGCTCGGTAACAGATGCGATGGGTGCCGGCTTTCACCTAATAAACACCCTTTGCTGGTGCAAACTACTGCGAGTTGCCTTCGGTAAAGAACGGGTCTGTCTGATAACCGTGGGTAAATAATCCTGTGAGTAGTGGGCTAGTCTGGGCGAGTATTATGGCATGTATTTGGGCAGTTGGGTGGGTCAGTGTGTCGACGATGTTTGATGCCCCTTTTTTGTTGGTGACTGTGTAGTGAAAATTTGACTCGAGGAAGTCGAGCCAACGAACATATCGTGGGTTGAGGTGGGGCTGTGCACGGAGATACTGTAGTGATTTATGGTCTGTCCGTACTATCACGTCCGCACTGGTCAAGTAACAGCACCAGACTTTGAATGCGTGCACGATCGCGAGCATTTCGCGGTTGTGTATTTTTCTCAGGCGGGTGCAGCTTTTGTGACTCGTATGCGATGGGCTGTAGGCCATTGCAGAAATCCTATAACCGTACGGCTCCGATGACAATGTCGCTTGCGTCTGTAACTACTTCGAATGGGCGGTGTGGGTCGGCAATGCGCAGGACGGGCGGTGAACAGAGAACAGTTTTCAGGGCAGAGAAGGTAGCATTCTCTTTCTCCCCCCACGTAAACGACACTCCCTTTCGCAGTAGATCAGTCAGTGGGGCCGTTAAGCGTGCCATGTTGGGGAAGAACCGACGGACGTAATTAACGAACCCTAAAAAGCTCTATAGATCCGTGATGTTGGCCAGGGGACGCCACACGTTTACCGTATCTAACTTCTTCGGGTCAATTTCGACTCCAACATCCGAAATGACATGCCCCAGAATTTCTAACCGGTCCAGAAAAAACTCACACTTCGAACCCTTGGTCAGTAGGCGGTTTTCGTCTAAAATTTTAAACACTTCTTCTAAATCCGTGAAGTGCTGCTGCTTGTCGCGACTGTAGACCAGGATATTTTCGAGATAAACTATCACGCATTTACCTAAAAGTGGGCCTAAACGCCGTTCATGGTCATATGAAATGTCGCCGGTGCGTTGGTCAGCTCGAAGGACATCACTGTGTATTCGAACGATGAATTTCTTTTCTAACAGATAATCTAACTGCTTCCTTGGTTCATCGAGTTCGGGCTGTGTCAGTCTGAACTATTGCTATACGGTTGGCTGTGCCCCCGGCTCTAGTTCTATGCGGTGGTCGTGCGCCCGCTGAGGTGGCACACCTTTTGGTAAGTCGTCGGGAAAAATCCCCGGGTACCGTTTCAACAGTTCCTATAGTTCAGGCGGTACGACTGCTAACAGTTTATGAAAATCACTCGGCGCATCAGCTCCAGCGGCAACAACCCATTTCATCGTGATGGCGTTGACGTGGACTGTTGATGACTCGGGTGACCACCAGCGAGGTAGTTCAACCCAGTTACCACTACTTTGCACAGTGCAGCTATCCGACGTCCAATCAATTTGCAGGTTGTAGCGTCGCAGCCAATCACGTCCCAGTAAAATGTCGTGCCCATCCAGTGTCGTCGCGAGCATTTCCTGTGTAAACCCAAAATTCTCTCCGCAACAGACTTCCACTCTTTCCACTTTTCCCCGTATGGCCAGCGGCGTGCCCTGAACTAAGCGTGCGTCGATCTCTGGTAATCAGCGGCTAAGTGTCAGTTGCAGTTTCCGTGCAGTTGCAGTATTAACTAAGTTGCGACTTGCTGCTCTGTGAAGTATTGGGCAATCCGTCGCTGTACCCTCCTTATTCATCCGAGTCCAATCGATGGCGTGAATCGGTACTGTGACTCAATGAGGGTCAGTGAGGTCGG